ACTATTTTCCAAAAAAAAAAAATACTTGGCTCCTCGTCGATAATCATCAAATCTTGTTTTGAAAATATTTGTTATTTGTTTTTGAATTTATCTTTTTTAATTGTCAAATGTTTAAGGATGGTGAACACATGATTGGTCGTCCTTATCGTTAAGGAGCCAATGTTTTCCATTCTCACATACATCCAACAATATTTTTTTTATTGATGAAGTTGCAATAAAGTGCAAACAAAGTCCATATTAATTAGGAAATGATGTGATTGATGGTATATAGGTGAAGACAATTATTTTTATTAGGGTGAAATCTATTGGATGAAATTAGAGCAAAGTCATGGTTATGCCCAAAACTGACAATATTATATCACTGTGAAAATACTTGAGTATTATATCTTTCCACCGAATAAAAGAGTTGTCAAATTTTGACATAAACATGAAAATATGTAGTTGATACTCAAGTATTTCCTAATTAAGTGGGTTGATAGGAAAGAAAGAGTCCCTATTTGCTCTCTCATTTTGTTTTCTTCATGGCAAAAACTAATTAGTAGTGGGTAACAGAATATTCTGGACATACAAAATTACTTACCAAGAATATTTTTTCTTTCTATAGTTCTGAAGTGAAAATTAAATCAATCACGTAATAAGAGAAATATATGGAAAGTGGCACAAGAGATTTATATTGGTTCACTTTAACTATGGGCTACGTCCAGTCTAAATAGAATAATCTCTCAGATCTAAAGGTYTTGACAAAAGCCACCTAGCTTGTAGGAACTGCAACAACAAAATCCTAGGAAATAGGAATGAAAAAACTTACCAAATACCCACGATAATAGGTTGCCGAGCGATGCTATACACTACTGGGATCTCGCCTCTGAAACTCTATCAAAATTTGTGCCCTCTAAAAATTTGTGCACTTACACATTCAGCAGCCACTTTGATGTGCAACAAGACATAAACAAAACCTAAATAAAAGAAGTCTATTTATAGAAAGTCAAATATTCTAATCCTTAGATAGAAAAACCAATATTATAATCATTTTCTTGGTAGGACATGATTTTCCCATTTTGGTTCAATTATCCCAATAGTACATCATATCTATTGAATGCTAGTAACATGGACTAGAGTAGGTCGAAAAAAATCAAGAGACTTAATAAGGTTGGATATTTCTAATGACCAAAAGCAGTTTCGACCCACGGTTTGTTGGTATATCTTTATTGTTTCCCATTTAAATTAGGGGTGTGCGAGTACGGGGGAAGAAAGTTTATGGCCTTTGGTATATATTTTAAGCCATATTCAAAACATTTCCTTAATAAGCAAATTCGATTGTGTACCAGCTCCCAGTCCCAACACAAATAGGCAAACGCCCCTTGTAATTCTTTTAGCAAAACAAGCTGCATGCCATTTCATCAAATTCTTTCTTTATGCCTTTTTCTTTTCTTTCTTTTTGGACTTTAAAAACAGTTTCTCTCTCTCTTATTTACTTTTAAGAACCACTTGCATTTTTTATATAACCAAAATGGTTTAAATCCTTTTTCAATGATTCGAACCACTATATGAGAGATTCTATGCTTTGATTATTGTTGTTCATTTTCTTTTTGTTTTCTTAATATTCTTTATTAGTAAAAAAAAACTGAGGAGGTGGTATATGTGGTGTTAATAGACTTTTGTCTAGACCCATATATGATCATTTTTTAAAAAATATAATACGTTTTTAGGTATTTTGAGAATCAGAAGAAGTAGCTAAAAAAAAGTCTTGTAGAGTTGGTTTTTGGTTTTATTTTAATTTGCAAGGCAGAAATCCTTATCACCTGATTGCTCAATATGATATATTATAGCCAACATTTTGGACCAAATTAAGCACTGTGGTCTTCAAGTCTATTGAGCACTACTCGACTCTATTTCTATTAACACATGTCATTCTTATTTTTCCTCTATTTTTAATCGTTTGACTAACCTATTTTGCATTGTCTATGATCCATGGAGAGATCTTTGGTGTTAGAAACTAGGTAGGTTCCCTAAAATTTAATAAATGTTTTCAATGTTGATTCTCATGGACATTTAATAATTAGGGTACTACTTTTGTGTACTTTCATAGTCACACTCTACTTAAATTTTCCACTCATATCTTCTATCACGTCCCTAACTTAGTTGTCAAAATGACTTTGATGAATGTCACGATAGCTCATATTAGTTAAACACTTAGGAATCACCTAGTTAAATCTTATTCCAAATATCTCAATATCAACTATTCAATGGACCACCCATCCATGATTCATGGGTCACACATTGGAAACCCCAACCCAACTTGTTGAGTTTTGTCCCTTTCTCATATTTATTTAATAGATATCATATTCATCAAATCAACCCTAAAATGGAATTATTTAAAATGTCCTCCAATTTAACTAACAACCCACACAATAACGCTCAAAGTTAATGGACCAAATTTATAATTAACTCTAAAAAAATACCATTAAAACCAAAACTCTTGGAAGAGAATAACGACAAATTTACAAGATATCGTAAACGTTACGGATCGAACCAAACTTCACGTATAGCCAAAAATGACAATTAGGATGAAAAATGTGACAACACAAGTTCTTGAAGGCAGCATCTATACACCTAGTTAACTACTTTGGCGTAGTACGAATTGTTGGCTTTATGTCGTCTCATATTGCATACATATATGGACATATTTAGAGGAAAGTAGATAAAGCAAAGGAAGCAAAGTGCATATGGTTAAAACTTAAAAGAGATGAAACGACAAGTCGTCCTCTAAAAGCTTCATTCTGTTCTCTGTATCTACCCTCCAAACCACCTTCTTCAACCTTTATTTTCTTTCTTTTCTTTCATTCTCTCTTTCTTGAGATTGAGAGATTGGGAGAGGGTTGCAGGGCTATGGAGAGAGAGACAGCTCAAAAGATTATTAAAAGTGTTCGATTCTATTATTGGATGAACGACGGACGTCACGGACGTCGAATATATTATATACGTCTAGTAATATACTAACATGAATATATATAAAACCATAGTAACAAGAGATTTATATATGATAATTAGGTCT